GGGGTCGTCACGTCCCGACGACGATAAATAGTTAGTACCTACGCAATGGTAACTATTACAAAACAATTCGTACATTAAACAGTTTTCATCATTTATAACAGAATTTTAATAGGGACTATATATTGTTTATTATCAATTAAAGAACTAGCTTAAAATATCTTAATTGTCGCATCCAATATTAGAAAATTATGACATAATACAACAGAGATCAGTATTTTCGAAATTCAAAATAAAATTAAAGATATGTAAATACAATTTATTGTGATTCTTTAACATACAATAAAAAGAAATGAAATTATATTTAAAAAAAAAACTAAACATGTCCTCGTACTTTCGTGATGATAATTGAAGCGGGTCTTTTTATGAGCTCTCCGACTGTAAACGTCTCCATTAGATATCCACTTTAACGTAGCTATTATGTCATGAAAAATTCACAAAGCGAAATTGCTCTATTGCTCTTGAGATAACGACTTTAACCGTCGCGACAATCGAAATATTATTCTCAAGATTAGAGTTAAAGAAAAAACAAGGGGGCCTTTGATGAAACTCAGTTATATCCGGAACAGAAGCATTTTATTCCATTCCATTCCACGAACATTTATTTCACAATCTTCTATGGTAATAAGTTCATTAAATACACTATGAGCATACTAATCAGATAATTATTTTAATGTTTATTATAATTACAGTATGTCTTTAATATACATAAGTCACGAAATATTAATTCCTTCTGTAAGAATATTTCACTAAAATTTTCTAAGAACTTTAAATGACTCCAGATTTACATATTTACCACTCATTATAAATTGACATTAAACTTTCATGTTAAAGCACTATATTGCATGATCGAAGGATATTTAAATATTTAAAAAAGCAATAAATAATTTTTTCCTGGTTTCTTCCCGAAACTGTTTACACATTGAGTACTTAAATTCCTTGGCAGATTAAAAATACACTTATCAGAAAATTATCGAGCTTCCTTACTTTATCCTTTTAAATTCAAACCAATTTATTAAAGTCAATAACAACCTAATCTCAAATGTTTCAAATAATACATATGTAATACTTTTATAATAACTTTATTCATTTGATTAAATTATTACATTTGTACAGTCATAGATTAAATGGAACAAATGTTTATTTTTTTAATATAATCTTACTACATAACGAAACAAAAACATAAAAATGTATTACACTTACAAAAAAACAATAAATAGTTTCTTTAGAATTTTATTTTCAACACTCGTCGTTAAACAAGAAGCATATAATTATGTTTCAGTTTTTATTTGTGTGTATTCGTTACCGCTGGGAAGTATTTTTTATCATATTTTGCTCACTTAAAGTTAACTGAAAAAAAAATTATTTTTTCTATTACGGTGTTTTATATTTACATTTTTATTCATTCATGCATTAATTAATTCGTTCATTAGCTCATCCATTGATCCATATATTTAATTATTTTTTTAAATATTTATTCCTTATTGCACTAAGTAGTGCAGTAGCTCTAATATATACCGGACTATAGCTCATATAAGTACGTTAGCAATAGGTAGAAGGCTAAAGAAAAATTAAAATCTACAAGGAAGTAAATAAAAAAAAGGAATTAAACTTAATGCTACTAATTCATGTAAAATCTATTCAATATACCTAGACCCGTACAATAAACTCGTAAATAAATTTATAATACTAAATGTCATACATACATATATTAGATGCGATTTGACGTTCCTGATAAATGTACATTATTGTTCGTTTCGATGGAATCCTACATTACATAACGTATTGAATTATGTGAGAAATAATTATATGAAAGAATGTAATTCCTGAGTATCAATTTGCCATCCTTATAAATGTCCATTATTTTATCATTCGAAGGAATTTTATTGCGTAGTAATTTAGCATTTTCGAGAAATGTTCCTTATTGCTTGTATAGTCTGAAGTCTATATTAGCTATAATCCATAAGAAATAGCATCAATGTTACTCATTACAATAATATACAAAAAAGTAGTAAAAGAAATGCATACTATATGCTATGTAGGGTATATTAATATTAGCAATTTCATTATGAAGAGAATATACTAATAAATATTATAAATATAAAAGAGACTTACATAGATAAGTTTAATTTCAAATCAAAAACTTACTTAGATATTATACAATAATAAATGCACACGTACGTACATACATATGATGTATATGTTCATAAATGTACACAATTTACAAATAATGAAGCTCTAGAGTCTAGACAGAACCTACTTCTACATAAACGATGTCTCAAAGAAACCGATGAATTAAAGTTGCTTGGTAGATTTGGTTTTAAAAGAATTATTGTATTGAAAATGGGAAAAAAGGTACTTTATCCTACATAAACTATAGCGAGAATATCCACTAATACTTAACCTTTAATATAGTAGTAGACTTGCACGTTGAATTAATCTGATACAAATTTTTTAAATCACATCACACAGCTATATTTCATGCGAAGCTAAATAACATTCTTTTAAATATATGTTTGCGCCAATGATGAACCTTATTTTATGGTAAATTTTTTTTGTTGTTAAGCTTTTGGAACAAGTTGAGAAATTATCAATTGTTTCAAATATTTCAGTAGTCCTGACGAAATATAATGAAGAGGAAAATGTTGTTTATCTTTTCATGTGCAATACAAATGCAGAACACATACATAATATAATAGATTTAATCATATTATTAAATCATTTATTTTCAGCACAGTTCTTTTGTTCCTTGAATACTTCAATACCCTGGAAAGCCATGTATTCGAATGAATACTATCTGAACTCTGATTTCATTTTATGACGGGCCGTGCAATCAGTGTGAATTGAAATCAAATCTGAAAGATCTGATAGCAAAGAAAAAATCACTGATTCAGACTTCGAGAGCTATTTATGTATCAAAAGGCATGTACCGTTATATTTATTTTTCTTTACTACTAGCGCTTTTCAAATAGTAAATGAAGAGGAAGAAATGTTAAAGTGTGGGAGTGCATATAAAATATTATGTATTTTTGTTCTTATTGTTATTCTACTATTAAAAAGATATTTAAATAATTCAAGTTTTATTGGGATATTGAAAAATGAGTGGCAATATTATGATGTGTATAGTTTACTTTCTGTCCGTTACTTAGTTCAGTTCATTAGGAATGTATAGTCGGATAAATTCCAAAAAAAAGTATTATTAAAAGTACAGTGAAAGGATAAAATATTATTAATAATATCTGTTTAATATATGAATTTGAGTTTTTTTAAAGTCTTTACGTCGTCGAATATTCCGTCAAGAATCTAGGCTACATAGGACACTGGTTTAAATATTAGTTAAAATATTATTTTTTTATCAATCCTTTGTATCAGAATTCAATAAATTAATTTATCTAAAACACTTAAAAAAACAAACTCTTTATGATATATTATGAGGAGTTACATTTAAAATTGATTTAAAGATATTTATTTGCATGAAAGCAAGCTACCTACTCACATTTCTATCTGAGACTTAGTAGTTTTTCTTTACCATCATTCAGATATGTTTTTTTAAGTCAGGACTTCTTAGTAATAAACATCTCTCAACATCACCGGGAAGTTGCAACTCACACCAAGTAAACATATGTTAAAAAATTGATAATCAGTTTCAGTCAATTAAATTTGTTTTCAAGTAATAGAAAAATATCCACATATTTTAATATGAAGTACAAAAGATAATCCAGATTTTCATGTATCAATATTTACCGTGGACACTTCTGCAATTGATACCTTTCAGGTATACCTATAGGTTGAAACAAATGCAAAGTATACCTTGAAGCGGACTCAATACAAAAAATTATATATTATTCACTTTTAATAGCTATATTTCAAATAAAAGACATCATAAGAATAAAAATTATATTTATGTTTTCTAATAACAGTAAATTAGTAATTTTATTTAAATATATAAAGTATGTATTAACTACATTTTTCTGTATGCGCTAGCAGATGCGTACAAATTTTTCTTGATTTCAGGATAGCTCCACATCAAGTCTTGCCAATCTGTATGTTTTAGAAATACTATATCAACGACCTGAAAAAAAGAAGTACTTATCAAATAGACACAAAATTCCTCGGTACGTGTCAAATATTTATTTAATTACTCCAAGTTATAAAGCGATGATTTATTCTAATCAGATTTATATATAATGAGCTACAATTTCACTTATTATTAAATACACAAGAATTCTCTATCAGTTCTGATATTTAAAATAAGATGGGAAAGTATTTTGTTACTTCGTCATTTTGTTTGCTCATAAGTAACCGTATAACCAAACAAAATAACTCACGTGACTCATAACTATCCATTTATTATGATGAAATTTTGCATATAAAGATACATTTTTATTATTAATCTCTAGACGTTTTTTAAAGGGTAAAGAACATTATACATTGAAAAGTAAAACATAAAATTGAAAGATTTAATCTACTTATTTTACTTTTATATTACTTACTTTGTAAATTTACTTATATATCAATTTTAACAGAAAATATTTACCGTTCGTGAAAAATAAGAGAATTGAAACGGCGTGTTTGGAAACAGGCACGGTATCAATCCAAAAAATCCATTCGTACTCAAAACCGAATGCAATTTTTTCTCGCCACTGAAATATTTAATTACTTTAAATTCAATATCTATAATATTTTTTAAATATATTTTATCATTTATATAACTTCACTATTGAAGTCAATAAAATAAAAATAGTATGGTTGTATACTTTATCCTTACTTTGTATCCGTATACCATTTTTCAACTTCACCCTCATGAATAAAACACGCCACGGAAAATATATCACCTTCTCGTATTATAAATTTACCTATAAAAGACCATCTAATTTAAAGTCAAATTACTTTATTCTTCGGATTCTCCGCTTGGTACATAAAGTGTTTAAAATAATTATACAATTAAAATTACTATAAGTTCAGATACAAATGATTTAACGCATTTATAAATATATTTTGAGTTACCAACCGGGAAATATCACAACTCTTTGTAAGCGAGCAACTAATTGACGATTGAAATACACAGGCAAATCAGAAAATAGTGGCGTAGTGAGAAGGTGGTGCAAGTAAAGTGAACCCAAGAGGTCTTCGCGAAGACATTGAGGAGCTTGCTGTGCAAGTTCCGGCAACCAGTTACCTTAAACAGAAAATTTGTTAACGACTTTATAATTTTGATTATCATATTGTGCTTTCATTTCCTTGTATGTAATATTTTTATTTTATATAATATTTACACTAAACTAGTCGTCAACTTGTAATGTATATTTGAAAATTTAATTCGTTAAAGTAACTTCCTATATTTTGTCTACGTCAAAAAAGAAAGGAATAAGTTTTTCTGGTAAACAAGATATGTTCCGAGTGATTAATACTGCATAACAACTCTCTCAAAATAAAAAATTATATCGTAATTGATGAAACACGTGGCGCTGCCTACGATAAGTACACATTGCTAATATACTTTGCACACATGACTTAAGTACACAGTCCTGGGATTGTTGACTTGTTACCAATATTATCGCTGGCATAGAAATTTTACTCTGTTTGCTATATTCCTATTTATTGTTTAGACTAATAGTAGTATAGTTTATCGGATACATTATTTTTATGTACGTACGTCTTTTCAAATTCTTTTTCGATAATGGTTATGGGAATTTAAATAAAAGTAAACTAAACTGATACAAGGAAATATTGTTAAACAAAAGCAAAAAGTTCAGGATTAAACAGAAATTTCAAAATTTAAAATTATTAAATAAAAAGGAAGTGGACGGGAATTAAAATTGATGTTGGGTAAGCCATTTTAATTTTAACGTAGTACTAAAGTATACATATATTGTCGATTGGCGAACAATATTATTCTTACCCCTCTGTCTTTTCCATAGCTGATTAGTATACTCTTTTACAGACTTCAAAAGTATCGGTGACAATCCAGAATGTTTCAGGTAACGAATAAGATTGATCACGTCATAATCATACGCATATAGCTCCCGATACTTTGTATAGATGGCGCTGATCACAACACTTAATATCCAAATCTCAGCTAAATATATAATCATGTTTATAAGCAACTTGAAATAAATCTCTTTTAAAGTTAATGCTACAACCTGAAAAACATAGGTTAGTCAGAAGTCGATTGTAGAATATATTAAAATTTGATTTAATTTACATATAATAGTATTATTTTCTTACAACATCCGTCTCAGTATGGGTGTATATTATAATAATATACAACATTGCTACAACATAATCTGCAGCCCAATATACAGGAACGAGAAAACCAAAATAAGTTTTGTGATTTTTTATGTAACTCTTCGTTAATCTAGCACACCCTGCGAATATTATGAAACAAATTTCAGCATTATGTTATCAACTAAAACTTATTACTACTCTCAAATACAAATTTTAAAATATAATTGTTATATTATCTTGAAACTAAGTAGTTGTGAAATGTCATATCACTTTTTGCAAAAAGAAAATACATTTTAATGAAACTAAAATTTTCGCATTTACTACGTAATTTTTATTTTTGATTATAAACTGCATACTCCCAACGTTTCGGTTACTTTACAGCGACCGTTATCAAGAGCAGACGAGATGTAGATCTCATTAAAACAAAAACAATAAAAATAATTTTCTAACAACCACTACATCAATCTATTATAGAAAATTATTTATTTTATCTGTTACTTTTTTCTTCGGTTTAAAATATTACCTATTCATAAAAAGCTTTAAGGAGTTATATTCTGGATTTTTTAATTGATTATTTTATTTGAGTAACCTAGTTAATTACTGATAAAGTATGACTTACTACACACAAGTAAGAAATATATGAGATCTCGATCAATAACAATAATTTAATTATGTTAATAAATCATAAGTAAATGCATATATACCCCCTTTTCTTTTATCAGGCGTTGTCCATTCCGTGTAGTCAACGGTTTGATTAATTGAATTTGGTAAGGGGTTCAATGTTATCGGGAACTCAGGTTCTTTTCAAAAATATTCACATTATATAAAAATATTGTTTTAATTAAAAATAAATATTATTGGATATAAAATACCTCTGCAAGCCACATAGATCCATCCACAAGTGAGGCAATGTAGCAAAAAAAGTACAACTATAAACTTTAAAAGAATAGGGGCAACGGTACTCTGTAAGATGTTTTAGTTCAAACATTATTTTATGTATTTATTACAATAAAAAAGTGAAATCATACTTGTAATGAGATACCTGAAATTCTTCACAGAACTGTCTGTGAAAATCATACAAGAGTCTTAATCTAATCAGTCTAATTAGTTCATACATATGATAACCGAAGTAATGTGCAATTAGTGGTAAAATTAAAGACAGTATGTCAACATAAAACTGCCATTTACGAAACAAGCGCCACTTTAATTCACGATCAACGCACATACCATGTTCTACAACAAGAGCAGTCTGCGGACACAAAAATTAGTCCTATTATTATGTAACCACGCATAACCATCTCTAACATGTAAATCACTAATTAAATCAGATTATTTACCGAATAAAACTCCGTGATGATGAAAATTAGATGCAAACAGTCTAGTACTAACAGATAGTCGAAAAAGCTATAATAGTATTCATTGGGCGCTATCATAGCAAAGAGCATGAGGAAAGATGTAGCCACAGGATTAAAAAGCAAAACCAGATAAAGCCATCTATGAAACCATTTACTGGAGTAAACGTTGGTTGACTCATCCATCCACTAAAATCAAAATTTATACAAAAAAAACAGTGCTGTACTCGTTTGTTTAGAACCTTATATTCTATGTAGGCTTAGGAATTAGGATAGTTCTGAAAATCGATATCTTTCTTTGCTGAACAATTCTATTCTGATACTAACTTAGTTCTTCGGTATAATCGAAAATAATTATTTTGATTTTATAATCTTTGATCCTGTTTGAGTTTGCTTTTAAATCAGTGACATTTGTAATTAAGAGAAAATGTTTGAAAACAAGTTATAAGATTACCAGAATCAAAAATTCCTGGGCGACATTACTCAATTAGTCATTACATGTATTATATGAAGTTACTCACAGGTAATTTGATGGATTTGCGTCCTCTTAACAAATATTTTACGGTATTGTAAGGGTTTTCCAACATTATCCGTTTAATGGCCATAAAGTCTAGTTTGGACTGAGGATTTTCTTTGATATTATTTCTTACCTACAATCAAGAGAAAATATAAAAAAAAGTTAGGATCTATTTTACTTTTTCCAAAAAATTGTAGTATTTACTTTGTCATCAATAATTTCTTGAAATTCTTTAATCGTCAACTGAAGTATGTCAGCAAAATCTTCAGATACAGCCGTGACACGAATAGGTCGCGGCAATAGACCTTCCAGTTGACCAAATATAGAACCCTGCGATATAGTATAGCACAGTTCATATTATTAACGTGTTTGAATTAGAGTATACTTTTACTCCATTGTTTTTTTATACATAGTCTATTTCACACATTATAAACATACATTAAACAAATATAATGTTTCTAGACACTTCTAGTTTATGAAAAAGACATAATAGTTTTACATACCTTTGTTAATGTGGCTAATTTTTCACCATCTTGTTTAATAGCGATCTTACCACGATGGACGATGAAAATCCACGGGTTTAAATCCATCTCTCGCATTATTACTTCATTTGGCAAAAAGTAAAGCTGGGTAGCCGAACTAGCTAATTCCCTTTCCAATGTTTCACCACCACGCAATAAAGTATCTGTTGCCTCTACCGTTCTAGAATTTACAGTTACCGTTCTTTACTATTTTAAATATTTGAGTAAATTTGCACTATTAATTCCTTCAAAACATAATTGTTAAATTCGTTATAATTAAAGTAAATTCTTACTTCTTGAAAAAGTAAAAACTTAAATCCTGTCGAAACACAACACCGATACGTTCATTCATTAAATTCTGTATGTTTATTCCTTTAGTTCTGTGAAGAATAATAAAAGCTGTATGTTATGTCTATGTTGTATATATGTATGTAAATACATACATAAATGTGTTAAAAATATATATTTAAAGAGTAAATCCAATCTTACCTCACCCACCAGTACCTAAAATGAGCTTTCGTTCTATTTATAAGACTGTCTTCGACCCTTTCTGCTTTTAAAAATTTTCCCAGTTGTCCAACGGCGTGTTGGAATATTGTATTGCCACGATAATTTAATATCAATAGGGTCAACGAATAACATATAACATACCTGAAGAGAGATATAACAGTGATACTTTTTTATCAAATTTTTACATCTAGATTACTTTGAAAAACTTTCTACAAAATATTAACATAAAGCATTGCTTTTATACCATGATTTTTAGGGTTTTATAAAATACAAGTAAGTTGTTATTATCAAAATAAATTAATATATATTGACCAATAAATCTACGAAGTATGACTTTTTTAATTGGCTCTTACACCCTAATTGACAAGAAATGTGCGATATACTTACCAGAATATAAATCCAAGAAACAACAGTATCAGACCAAGTCCTAGATGTTCACGACTTATTTGAAACTTCCCTAGATTCAGTCTCATAAAACCGCTTTGTGCCAGATTCAAACTTTCCGCATAAACCTAACAATTGTATAGAAGTGAAGAGAAATAGTAGTTTGTATGTATACAGTGCATATATATACAACTACAAATAATAAATAATACGAGTTATAGTAAGTTTTTATAAAAATAAAATATTTTTTTGTGATCACTATTATTTGAGAAAGTATTTACTAATTATAATGATCCTTTTTAAAAACGGTTTTCAAAAATCGTATAAGTCTTTAATTATAATTTGACGTTTATTCGCTATTGTTCGAATTCAAGGACTTTCAGGGAAATCCATACAAATAATTATAACTCTTACACCTTGATTATATGGTATTATTGACATAATAGAACTACATCTGTTGACTTTTCTAGTATAGTAAAAAAAAAGACAGCTACATAATGTAAAATTTTAAGACTTGTTGGAAATGAATTCAATTTTCCCCATTACAGTATGATATGTAAAGAAAAATAATATATTTTTTTACATACTAATCGTACCATATGTAACTGATGGCTACTGGGAGTTTCGTTTATTGGAAAAAAATTAGGCAACCAGCATTGATTTTGTCGTTTCATATCAATTAATTTTGCTCTTTCATCCCACTTAAAATCAATGCAGTAATATACGAAATATTGACTAGTACCCAGCATAAGCAGTATTGTAACCACTTGCCATTTCACTATCTGCCAGTATAAAATGCAAAACACAATAAAAAACAATGAAAATAAATAAAAGAATACAAATAAATATACACCAAAATCGAACACGAACCATTACGTAAGTAAAATTGATAGTTGGAATATCAGCCTTGTAATTGAAATATCCTAAAACCAGATACAAATGAGCATATTTGCCTAAAGTATTTATCAGCATGGCATCGTTCTCTTTTATATTTTCTGTCGAAATTATATTTATGACCTCAACAATCGGCATACAGCCGATGACATCAAAGACAAAGCCTCGGCTCACGTAATTTTTTATACTCATCGGTAGACTTGTGATAAGTAGTCCATTTGTGTCATAGTATGCGAGCTGTAAAATGACTAATGATTTGAAAAATTGTACATAAATATAACTCCTAAATATCGATACTAATAAATTACTTACAAACATTTTTAAAAATATATCAACAGTAGCTATAAAGTCGCAGACATCTCCCAGCTTCATTAGCGGCCACCGGTAATAAGCCCCACTTCCACCTTTACAATGAAAATGTGGTAACTTTATAATAAAAACTTTGAGGAAAGTGAAGCGTTGTAAAGTATAATTAAATTGCACCTTGTAATGCAGATGCAGAAATCGAAATTACAACGACCATAACCCGAAACCTCATCCAACAGAGCATAAAACTGAAAATAAAGAAATAAGATAATTATTCTTTTTTAAAATATAGGATCAGTCACCGGGGAAAAGTTTTAAAGTTCGCTTTTTAAATTTAATTACACACCGTCCTTCTGGGTTTAAAAATGCAAATCCTGTTGTCTTTATCGAAGGTTTATTTGTTATTGATGCATTTGGATGACGATTTTGAAAGATCTGGTTACGAAATTCTTCGTGATACTAAAATAAAAATAAATATGAGTTTACGTCTAAATGATAAATATCTAAAATCTCAATTAACATTTCTTTCGGCTATTGTTAAAGAAATTAATTGTAGAGAATAATTAATAACCTTTTTATGTTTTTTCACATAATCTTGACTCAATGCTTCTATCCGGGGGGAAAATTCTTCAATACAAATTTGTAAATTAGCCCATTCACTGGGATATTTCTTTACTATATGAATAAAATCTTGAAGTTTTAAATATAAAATCTAAAAATTAAAAAAAATAAAACACGTATTTTAAAATAATTATTACAATAATAACACTTAGGTTATTTAAAGAAAAAACAAGCTTAATTATAAATCCAGAACGGTCTCAAAGAAATAAAATCACAATAAAGTCTTCGTTTGTGCTATTTTTCTTTTAATTTACAAAAAAAAATACTTTCATATTTATTAATATTCTAAGTTTGTAGATTAAACACTAACTTCACAATCGGTGTACGCTGTAAGCGTTCGAAGTGATACCGTTCTAAAAAACACTCCAAAGCAAGTTAGCAACTGTCCTGAACCATAAATTGTACTCATGAGTTCACCATCGTCATTTGGATATTCAGAGAGAATGGAACCCTACGGTAATATATAAATATGTTTAATAAATACTTTCAATGTAGCAGATACCTTAAAATAAATTTATATTAAATACACACTTGAACAACCCAAGACACGTTTTTACAAAGAATTCCAAAGAGAATGATTGTAGAATTTTTCGCCAATATTAAGAATCTTGCCTTATATGCTAGTTCTCGAATTAGAGCAGTATCGGCAAAAAGAAACGCTTGAGATTCTTTAATAATTTTTTCAGCTAATTCCCCATGCACCTTCCAATATATGTCATATGGCTCATTTTTAAGTAGGTGCGGATGCATTACATCCATTCCATTGTAATATTTCCAGTGACATAGAAGATATCTATTCAAGCGTTCTAATAATTTTGGATGTATTTTATGGTGGGTATAATGATGTTTTATATTTGCGACAAAGTATTGATAGTTGCACTTTTCACGATATTTTAAGTAAAGAGCAGCCACTAAATTAGATTTGCAATATATATAAATAATGAAAAAAAAGTAACTTAAAAACATAGCAGTACTAATATCGACTAAAGTATTTGGCAAATATTCGTAAAATAAATATTCCAATGAAAATGCCAAAACAACATTGAGTGGATGACCCTTTTCGAAATCGCATTTGTCATCAGTTTCTCCACGCTTACAAAATACTTCTCCAAAAAAATAAGATGTTGTTAAAGAGGGATTTTTTCTATCAATCATAAAAAGAAAATAGCTAACAATGTAAACAAAAGCAAAATGAATTAAGGCTATTTTATAGCAAGTTTGGTACAGTGGATCCCTTTTTAAATTCCACTTTGGAAATAACATATAAATCTTTATTAGTCGATTGAACTGACATGCCGCATACAAATGCGGTAAACCGGAAATTAAAGCTAAATTTTCAATCCAGACTGTGGAAAGCAGATCTAAAACAAATTTTGTGCTCTTACATCGGGCCAGCATAACGGATGCAAAATTGTCAGATACATTTTCATGTCTAACAATTGATGTTAAAAGAGAAACACAGATATCACACATATAAATAAAATCCGTCCAAAGCTGAAAAGACTTGAACCAAGTTGGTATATCGTTACGTGTGATGTAAGGTGGATAAAAAATCATTACAAAGAATACCGTAGCGGTGACAATTTTTCCCCAAATTTGACCAAACTTTGAGTCAGGGACGAATATCCACGGAAATTTTTCGTTAGCAAACATTGACTTCATATTTAATTGGACGTTACTACATAATACTAGCTGACCAATATATTTTGCACAGTGAAAAGAAGATTCTTCCGCTGGTAGTTGGCATTTGTCTCCTTCCTTCTTCGAGGACTTATTCCAACTATTAACAGCTTCACATATCTCCCACCACCTCCTTTTAACCCAAGCAATACCTTCATCTTCACTTCTATCTAGACCCCTTATATGTTGTTTACATGTATATAAAATACGACTGTGTTTAATTCTATTTTTGACATGATTTAGAACTAAATGACGATCCTCGGGAAACATGTGTAATGATTGTAATATATCAATTCTTGTTATATACAGCACTTCGCAGTACGTCAGACATCGGGTCAAAACATTTCTTTTAGATGGCGGAAGATAGAAACTTATATCACCGAAAATAGTACCGCTTGTTACGGAAATCAATGGTGTCGCCCCATCATCACAAGAAATTAACTGTACTATCCCTGACTTGAGATAATATAAATGTGTTTTACAGTACGGTCCAGCATAGAATTTTTGTCCAGGCAGTTTATAGTCTATATGTACATATTCGCAAAGCCATCGTTTATAAGCTTCCGATGTTTTCCTTAGTGTTGGACTATGATAAAATACAGGCCAGATCAGATCTTGTTTGATATCAATTCTCAAATATCTAGGCATTTGTGATATAACTTCGGGTATTGAAGTGATGCCGTGATGTTTTTTCCACATTAAAGTATAGAATTTTTCGACGTCAATGTGAGCTATTGAATTAGGATTGTGCCTCTTAGTTTCTTCTATAATTCTATGTACTTCTGGATAAAATGTGCAAAATCTTCGACATTTTAACAATGCTTCTGCAACCACTTTAGGAAATATTATAAAGATAAGCATCAAATTTCCACAGATTATCAAGAAACCAATAACGACGTATTCAGCTATTGTTGAAGGCTTGATGTCATCATATTGTTTATTTATTAAATGAGATAATATCATTGAAATGCCATATATATATGTTGAAAATGAAACATCGGTTTCGTTGAGCTAAAAAATAAAAAGGCAGCATTTAACCTATAACTAATTGGTTAGATACACAATATTTGAATTCAACATACTTTGTGCAATATATAAATACGCCAATCATAGTAGGCATCATTACAATTTTTACATAATCCATCAAATGTTAGTAATAAAACAAAACATGTTATGCCGTTCACTGTTATAGCCAACAAAATTGTAAAACCAAAAAACATTTGTATAATACTGTGAGTTGTAAAGAGAGAAAAACTCTCCACCACTCTGTAAATTCTAAAAAGAAATAATTTAAGATTATATTATTCAAGATCACATAAGAATAGTAAAAAAAAGGATTTAGTATTATATTTTTAACATTACAGCACTGTTAAGCTATTGCTTGAATTATGTTTCAGGTAGGATAAGGATTAGGAGGAGTAAGGATTGCAAAATTCAACAAAAGAACGGTATTTGAACTTGCTTTCGAAATTTGCTTTAGTGCCCGTCACTATATCCTGCTCTAAATTAAATTAGTGAAATGAGTATTCTATGTATTTAAGCATCATATGACGACAGAGGCATTTCGGTTAAACAAACAAAAGGCTTAATTCACAGACCCGATGCTAATCCTGCTCCCTTTTTTATTATTATCTGTTTATTTTTCAATAATAAATTTCACTATTTATACATTTTTAATAAAATAAAATACACTTTAAAAAAACTTACATCACCAATTCGTTGAAAGAAAGTATGTTAGGCCACAACCGTGCTTTGGGGCATATTTCTTCTGACACAAATTGATAGAAAGGTATTATGGATGTAAGGTCTAACATCAGTAAAAAAGCTGACTTTGGTAAATATTCTCGTCTCATAGCTTCGTCAGTAACTTGTCTAGGAACAATGTTGTTTTAACAATATTTTTTTTGAGTGTTACATAAAATAATAAAATATATTTTTTAATTATAATATGTACTAAATATGAAATTTAAGAAGTAAAAATCTACAAAGTACATTTTCAATAAGTCCCCGGAAACGTTTTATACGAAGACGGATTTTGCCTTGTGTGAAAAGACACGTTTAGATGAGGTATAAGTTTGAAGTAAACATTTTTGACACAATTGCTAGTGTAACGGATAACGGATTGTATAGTATACAGTCCGGTAGATAATGAAAATGACATATGATTTAGGCTTTTATCATTTTATCTATATGTGAGCTATAATTCATATATCCTACACTGTACTTTTCTCTTATGTAGCTAAATATTATTAAATATAGGTCAAAAGCTGGGCTCTTAACTCTGAATTTAAACGATTCTTAAAAGTAAATCTAGTATGAGCGTATTATTGTGTTAAATTACCTGTGAAGAATATGCAGAAAGGTATCAATACCGATTATGGGATCGCATAAATATAAATAACAAAATTTTAACATATAGAGAGGTGTTTTCCAGCAATGTATGATAGGAAATACGGCGTTTATAGGTCCCTGTTAAAAAAATACACGGACTTACTTCTAATACTATTTATGGTGATTCATAAATTGAAATGAAAATTACTTCAAATTAACAGAACTTACCAACATGGTTTTTATAATTACTACAAAAATAACAAATCCTCTAAATAAAGGATGAAATGGCAAGAAAATTAGATTTCTCCATCGGAAATCGATTTCTTCGGTCACCTCTTCTTCCTCTTCTTCTTCTTTTGCATCTTCATAACTAGTACGAGACTGCAATTTAGAAGATCTCCTAGGTTCGTACATTTAATTATTTGTAAATATCTTTTTCCTTGTTAAAAATGATAAACGTTTTAAATATTCTTTTTGACATTTATTCTATCAATACAAAACGCAATAAAGAGGTTTTACTATTTTTAGATTAGATTTATTTAATTCATTTATTTGTGTAAAGATATTAAAAATAACTATTAAATAACTTACAGGGCTTGTCCTTTTATCTTAAATAGCTCCTATAAGTCAATAGATTTTTAATATTTTGTCGTATTTTTATAGCGGTTTAAGATTTTTCTGAGACACTTGCAATTGTAAGTCTGCTTTTTTCACATTCAGATTGTTATTTTTCTGGCTTACAATTACATAAATGGACAATTTTATACATTGTAGTTTACTTAATAATTTTTAATGTATAAAAAATGCTATTTATATGCTAAATATAGCATTTTTTATACGTAAGTAATAAGTATTTTATTTTTGTACATAATTATATTGTTTACGAACTTTCCAAGTAAAAACAGACGCAGTTGAACAAGCTGAAAGGCAGGTGCATGATCCGTACCCGATCAATCACAATGCTAATGTTGAAAATGACAAATGAACATGCACACCATCAGTCACTTTGATATTGAAATTTGTATCTTGGGTACATACTTTAATCTTACAAGTGTTTTATATAACAATTTTTAAGTAAAATTCTTTCATCTCGTGTTTGCAGTTAATTGAAAATCAATTTTAAATATATTATGTTCGTATTTCTTTTTATGAATTATACAACTTTACATTTAAATGTATAATTCAAATACATGATTTACTTACTGAGATAGTCTTATAGAAAAACGTTTTTGTTGTTTATACGAAATTAGTTCACAAGCTAACGGTTAAAATAATCACTTTCATACCTGGAAAGTTATAGTATGTTATAAATACACAACCCTATACAACATTATGGTTTATAATCGTAATAGATCGTAAAAAAATCTTACGGGGGCTGAACGTATAAATTAGTCAGACAGAGGTTATAATATGTAATAATTAAAACAGTATTACAATACCCAATAAACGTACACGACAACTCATGTAACCTGACTGGCAATAAGCCAAGGGTCGACTCAAAAATTAATAGTAATTTTATTCATATGAATTATTCATATTAAATAAAATAAAATGCTATTCATAGGAATAGCATTTTATTGTATAAATGGCAAAGACCTATTTTTTTATGATTTTGTGATATTTTACTATTTACTTACTTTTTTGGCATGGTCGAAAAATATACGACAATTTTATATGTAGTCAATTCTATTTTCACTGTTAAGGGAATTAAAATTAAGTTATTACTTGACACTTTAAATTATGTAAATATTAATTTTAGACACTAGAAACTCACAATATTCCACAGAATAATTCTGTTTTATTATAAGATTGAAAGGTTTTTGAATATTTTCGTACTACGGTACAAATTGACATTATTGGAAAGCTGTCTTTTGTGCAATCTCCGGAGAGACACAATCCGGCTTCGTTGGGATCGGATACGCCGATGTAATCCTCCATCATATTAAATATAACCATTACATAAAGTATGATATTTTTGTTGTGTTAAAAAGGAGAATATTAATTGTCAATTTTGAAAATTTTAAGTTATACATACTATTTCGGTTATTATATAACATTTACGTCAATAGTATTACAATACATTTATATTTAAGATGTGAACGGTGCATGAAATTATTATTTTTATTACACAGATTGTCTTAAAAAATCTAAATGATTTTTGTTCACACTTAATTAAACCAGGCAACCAACCAACAATTAACTGAAAAAGAAGTCTGCAAAAACACAATTATCAGGCATAAAATTACAAAGCTTAACTGACAAGTACTCTGTTATCAGCACTTAAAACAAGTTTCTTTACAATGTTGAGACATTTCTTGTTTCTTTACAATGTTCATAAAATAATTGGAAACTAGCAATTAATTGAAAGAAAAATATATTGCTAGTACATATAAAATTTAATAAAAATACATAATCCAAAGAGTGATTATATCATTATCATTTGTATTTATACATTATATTGACATTTTTATAAGCGGAATATTTTTTATGTGAAGCTAAAGTTTTCTGTAGTTGATATTTACTATACTGATATTAATATTCTAATAATATATTTAATTAGATTGCTCGCTGGAATAGAGTGTTGCATATGGAAAGGTCAAATGCCGTCTTTTCATTGAGTTTATAAAGGCCATCAAAAGACAATAGACAGCAAATACCCGTTGGTGGGGAACAGATATCTTTATATTGAAGTTTTTTTAAGATTCTCACGATCCGCTGATACTCAGAAACAAAAATCATAAATTAATTATTGCATAAAACCATTATCAATTTTCAGTTAGTTTTTACGTTTTAATTTGAAAACTTCATTTGTTTTAATATCAAAAAAAATATTTGTATAGAAATAAAATATTTAAAATATATATTTTAAGTATTTGCAAATAATTGAATATTATTGTATTCACCTCAGAACAAATAGTACGCAAAACCTTGATTACTATATCCAAGTGAACAGCCGTCATAGGAGTGCTTTTAATAACTTTATCTTGAGACTGAGATTACTGTGTGAATTATAATATTGATTAAAAAATAATTTATAACAACGTAAAAACAATACTTAGATTCTAACACTCAAAAAAAACACAATAAAATTGGATTAAAAAGAAGGAAAGGAGTCTTAAGTATTCTTAAAATAGCAGTTTTAGCCGGTACTTTTCTTGGAGAAGATTTAATTCATTAGTTTTAATGGCTATTTCGTATTTTGTTCTCCAGTTAGCAAACAGCGCACCAAAACTGACCTAAAGGAACAATATTAAAGACAGACAGACAGACAGACACTCACGTCTCCTCTACCCGTGATCACGGTTGCTGTAAAGTAACCGAAAATAAAGTTACGTAGTATATCCGCAAAATATTAGTTTAATTTAAATGACTTGAAAAAATCTCAGATCTCAATAATTATTTTATATAATTCTTATTGTTAAAAGTATAGAAAAAAAACGTTTATTTGACAGAGATGGAGTTGAAAAGGATTCCTTCCATCCATAGAAAAATGGAATTCACATTTAAAGAGTTTTAGATCGGTTTCTTTAAGTCATGATTAATTGATTTCTAATTTATTGATTTCTAAAACTTTTATTGTTGCATAATAGGAAGCTTAATTATGTTTTTTATCTTGGGATTTTAATAACGTTTTTTATCTTGGGAAGTAAAGACTAATGATTCCTTACTTTAGTTAAAAATATAAATATTTGTAAAGTAAATTAATTTTGATTTGATGTTAAAATTGTTTTGTTAGAATCAATTGCGAGGTAACGAGGGCGGTGTTTCCGCTTTGACAATAGAATTCATTAGAGTAGGATACAATACTGAATCTACAAACTTTGGAAGGAAATTTAGCCTTACTTTACAAACTTGCTAGTTGTACGTTTGGTCCTATCTTGTAAAGTTCATAATATATACAAGAGGCCATATTGTAATGATTTCTACGATTTTCACAACTCCATTCACATTTTCGTACTATTCAAGAATGATTAACCGTATATAAATAAACTAAAGGTGAGAGTTTTATTGTATTAAAAAACAATCGTATTATAAAGTAATATAAAGGAGATAAAACTTCTCTTATCAAATTTAAAATATTCAAACTCTTCAATAAATCAAAATATAGTGTGAAGGCTTTATATATTACATGTATTGTTTTAACTATTTAAACCAATTAATATATCCAAGCCTTTCACTCGTAGAAGTTTGAATAAAATCTATATCGTTTGTGGAATTTACTTCGTCATTTCGTTATGCTATATTTAGACTAGGCTTATCACAAAGAAATCGATTATTCGTAGTAACTGCAAAGCCGTTTATTTATTTTAGCAAATTAAAATTTGATTAATGTTGCTTGTGTCAACAATAATACTTATAGTTATTGAAAATTTGTTACCATAACTATAACCTATTAAAAACATAAAATTTTAAGTAAGGACTAAATTATTAATCAGAAGTTTTTGTTAAATAAAGTTTTTATTGATGTATTCAATGCTAAGAAATGAACTGATTTATTATTATCGTTGCATTAAATACAACATTATCTTCAACTTATTTCTATTATATACTATCTTTATACCTAGTATTCTTCTAGTGACTTGTAGATACATACATACACAAATATATATATTTAAACTTTCTCCAATCTGTTTCATTTATATCCCATTATGAAATTCATAAACCCTCATACTTTTCACAAACAAAAGTACATTTCGATTGAAAGATAAAACATTGGAATTAAGAGGAATTGGACAGGTGAAAGCAATCAGTTTGGTAGCGTCATTTAATGTAGAAATAAATGGTCTTTCATTCCGATTCCGCGAATAACGTTTAATAATTTCAAGCAAGAGCTTATTCACAAATAAGAAATAATAATCTTGTGCAAATAAATTGTCTGTTTTATTATCAAACTATTTTATGGATTATAAGTGAATCAAATTTTAAAGTTTCTTTAATATACGAGTATATATAATTTAAAAAAAAACAATATAATAAAAAAAGATTGCAGACTTATAATCAGCAATATTAAGTAGGTTACAATTATAACATACAATTAGGAATACCTAATCGCTATCCATGAATCCAATGATTTGCTTTTGCAACTGATCGCAAATGTTTGAACTCAATTAAATGCACAAATCGCTTCAATTCAATTATAATCGCCTGAGGACCCTTTTGTATAATCATATCTGCTAATGAAATTGTGTCTGCAAATATTATTTGCTGAATTTTCATTTTCCTGCAACACTGCTTTACATAGCAAAAGTGAAATTTGAATTAGGTTATAGAGGGTGTTTAATATTCAAATTAATGTTATTTATTAGAACAGCCAAATAAGCACGTTTTACTTACAATATTACTGTTATGAATATTGAAATGATAGTATCTTTTACAAACCAATTTCATTGATGAAATTAATATATTTCTTCTTA